CTTCTTCTTCTTCTTCTTCTTCTTCTTCTTCTTCTTCTTCTTCTTCTTCTTCTTCTTCTTCTTCTTCTTCTTTCTTTCTTTCTTTCTTTCTTTCTTTCTTTCTTCCTTTTTTGCAGAACCGGGGATTGAACTCAGGCCCTTGTGCTTGGCAAGCAAGTGCTTATTCTACTGAATCATCTCCCTGGCCCCAAAGATCCCATTTTCAAGCCCAAAGAATCTAAACATGTGTTTACAGAGTGCTTTACCTTAAATCATTTTCCTCATTTTTGTGTTTTGCAGCCTTTCTAGCTTATGTTCTGTATAACTTACTAGAAATGATACTTTTTCAAACAGAGAGAAGAACATCTACTATATACAGAACTCAATTTAAGGTAGTAGTTAGATATAAAATAGGTGAAACAATAAAGTTTACAGAGATCATCCAGCGACTGTCTTTATGAACTTGGAGAGGGAGAAGTCTTCTTACACACAATGTAGAAGACATCAATGATAAAGAGAAATACTGATCAAAAGACGATATTAAATTTTAATTATATTTTTAACTATATTAAAATTTCTTTTTACAAAAATATATTTACAAAGCAACAAGATAAGATACTAAATAAGAGAATGTATTTACAATATATGGAAAAAGAAACTTATAGCATGAAAGAAAAAGAAAAAGGAAAAGCAAAATTCCAATAAATCTGCAAGAAGAAGATAGAATAAAAAGTATTGCAAATTATATGCATTGGCATTTCACAAAAAAGTATATTCATATTTCTGGTAAGCATATTAAAACCTATTTTTTTGTCATGGAGATATAGATTAAACTTACAACATTTATTACCCCAGGCCCTCCAGAATAGTACAATCCCAAGCAATCAGATCAGTTTACTGAACCCAGGAAATAGAATGGATCATTTGAAACTCTCAGGTACCACTAGAGGGAATCTAAGTTGGTACAGCAACTTTGGGACAACTTTTGGCAAAAACCACTACAGGTGAACAAAGGTACAGCAAAATGGCTCAGTAATTTCACTCCCAGGCACATATGTAACAGATATGTGAGCAATAGAAAGTCATACATATTAATACCTTCCATTACCCATTCGTGAATGTGAGAACTGACAATAATTGGAATGTCAATAAGCAAATAATGAATAAGTTGTATTTTACTCATTCAATGACTGTACTCAGAAATGAATCTTGACTAAAACTGTTGCATGCAACAATATGGGTAAAGCTTATGCATACAACATTTAGCAAAAGAAGTCAAACATCAAAAGTACACAGTGCTTGATTCTCTTTATATGAAGATCAGAAACAGGCATTGTTGAGTTATAGTATTAGAAAAGATACTTAAAGAAGAGTGAGCAGCCAATGACAGGACACAGGGAAGTGTCATATGGTAGGGAGAATGAACTATGTCCTGACCTGGGTTTGTACTTGGATGGGTTCACTTCATCAAAAAAAAATTGAAGTTTTATGTTTATATACACATGGGAACAATGCATAGTTTACTACATGTGTATATTTTGTCAATGAAATTAAAAATGTATGGAGCTGAATTACTTAAGATCTTTATGTTCTAAGTGTCAGCTATTACTATCTTTTCTCCTTCAGCAAATAAAAATGAATTTTCTGGGTCTCATTCCTTTGTCTTTTATGACTGAAATTTGTTTATAAAACCCATTTGTATGACACCTGTGAAACATATTTCTATCACTATTTCATTGTCCCTTGGTTTTCCCTTTGGCATGTGAAATCTATTCTGTGTTGTTTTTTTTTCAAGTTTTGATATTATGCTGTTTTGGGGGGTTACTTTTCCATTTGTGTTTTATATTCAGTAGAGTTCCTATAATAATCTCATCTGACCTTATGACAAATGCATTATCAAACATTACACAGAGACCTGTCACCTGGCTCTTAAGTACGACCTCATTCCATCTAGTATGTAAGGAAACAAAAGTCTCTTGTGAGTGATGAGACGCTTGTTTCCTGTAGATATAAGTCTTAAATCTAAACAGATGGTCTTTGGAAAAGAGCCCTGAGGATGGGACTAGAAGAGAGGCTCCCCTGTCAGCAGTGAAGAGATGCTGTCACCACTGTGTGCTGTGGAGAGCTCCACACACCTGTCTTCTCTCACTACCTCCCAGGTAGCCCCTGATGTGCTGGTGGGAACAGTTTCGAAAGATTTGAATTCTGGGGTCATCAGGTAAGGAGTTAGTTTCTAGATCTTACTTTATGTTCTTGAGCAAAGAATTCACATTGTCTGCAAACTTTGGTTGACTCAAAATGAGGATAAAATATCTATACCATAAAACCATTGAAAAAATTTAAATTACACAGATATATAAATGTTTCTACTATAAGATATAGCACATCTAGATGTTCAAAAGATGAACTGTCTTCTCTCTGCATCCTTTTCTTTTTTAACCAAAAATATGCCACTGTAATAGTTTGCAATTTAGATAGTTGATACAGTAATCTAGATTTGATGGTGAAAGGACATGAGACATTTATTTCATGAGCATATGTCAGATCTACTTATGTTTTCATATCTTTCAATTTTGCGGATGAAGCCTGTCTTCCAAATAGGGTAAGAATAATAATGTTTGTAAATATTAAATATTTCTGTCATTGATAGAAATGAATATATTTGATCTGTTATCTAAAAAAAGTAACAAAATAGATGAAAACTTACCTTGTATTATTAACTTTGTACATTTTCTTATATGCAAAGTGTCACACATTTAGACAAACCTCTGCTGAAGACCCGAACATAATTATGTTTCTATAGAAAGGTACATTTGACTACTTTTGATTCTAGCAAGTTGAATCTAGTTTTTTAAAAACTTTGTTAGCTAGAAAAGTTGTAAGCGAAGTATGAAGGGAACAGTAGGAGCAATCAGTCTCTTATTTTATACCTGAAAAAACTGAGGGAAGTGAAACAACTTGCCTAAAGCTGGTCACTGCAACATGAGAGTCCATAAACGGCCCCTCGTCTCTGAGGGGTAGGAGCTGACACTGCACTGTGAGAAGACCTGTCCGTGCATTCATGGGGAGAGAAGCCAGATTAGAAAATGTAGCTGGGACCCAATGTGCAAAATGAAGAATAGCTGGGCATGCCACTTTATGCAGAGGCCCAGAATTCAGGCCACAGTACTGAAAAAAAAAAAATAGACCATGTGGTGGTAGTCAAGATAAAGTGAGGTGAAAGAGTGAGTTTCGGGGCACAAACAGCAGATTACCCCTTAAAGTTCTGAATTCAGTAGTGACATGTAAGGACTTCATTAAGGCATCCCATTAAACAAGGAGATAGCAGGTAGGAATAAGCACAGGCAGACTCAAGGAAATACAGTTTTTAATTTAGTTCTTTATATTCTCAAAAGGCCACAAAGAATTCAAAGCATTTAAGCAAAAAGGACAGCTACCTTTTAGAATGTGGTACCTAATACATTTACATCCAGTAGTGTGGACAATACATTTACATCCTTATTGTCTAAGCAGTGTGGACAATAATGAATCCAGAGAATAATTTACACATGTATTCTCTGTAAATTTTTAAATCCTTTGTGCATTTGACAAACTCCAGGCTTTGAAATAATTGAAAGGGAGAGAAGGGCTTATACTAGGAGACATTGAATGGTAAGTCTTTCTCCAGAATCAACAAGTGTCTGGGGATACACATGGCTGGTTTTAGCTTACTGCTCTCTGTGATATTAGCTCCTCTCACTCAACCTTTTCCTTTCCCTTCTTCTCTCTTGCTCCTTCTTTCCAATAAAGCCTAATTGTTGCACATAGCAACAATTAATTTAGTATCCTCACTTTCTGTGATTTTCTTTCACAAATTAGAGTGATCACAGATATTTGATGCAGTTGTGACTGCAAAATATTAATTTAAAAAGACATTCTTGTCATTCAGTAAAAAGAGAAATACAGCCATTCCTCAGTGAAACTGGTGGCGGACATACAATTGTTTTCATTTCTACTTATGGAAAATGCAAACCATAGATTCTGGAAGAGGCAGATTGCTCAATCTGTGTTCACTTCCAGGTTCTTTCTATGCTCTCTTGAATACAGGTGAGATCTTGCCACTGCTACTACCATGGTTTCATTTACTGGCAGAAAGAGGTAGATGGGGGCCACATGTGGCTTTATTTGTTTGAGTTTTGATTTGTCTCACAACCATTTTATCACTAAGAAACTACCTTCTTTAAAATGATGTTCACATCCCAAAGATTTTTAAAGAGGGCACTCAAAATATAGACTATCCCTTCCAACTCCCTGCTGGGCTGTAGTTTATCAACAAAGTCAATGGGTCGTCTATTTCGATGGTTCTTAATCTGTGTGCAGGGATGAAAACACTTTCAGGAAATGTGGATGATGATGTCTGTGAATGGAGTCTGCACTCAGATTATTTTTTAATCTATAAAATTTTATTAGGACATAACTGACTTACATAATGGCTTCATTCATGGTGAGGAGTAGGTCCATGAATATAGCACATCATAGTTCTTTTTATGTCCCCCCCACCTTCCCTTCGTTTCTTGTTTTTTGTTTCCCCTTTGCAAAAGATCTGTCTTTTAATCTCCTTTTTCTCCAGTCCAAGAGGATACTACTGAGCTTGTAAGGTTAAGAATCACAGAGTGGTATGGCACAACTCTTTTCTGCT